GCTGACGGGGATCGCGGCCTAAGTCGGGTGCTGGTGCCCCGGACTGCCCGGACGGCGGTCGCCGAGGGGACTGCACCCGTGCGCAGCCGCCCTGAAGCAGATCCCTGCTGCCCCGGCCTGCACCCGCGTCGCTGTCTCGGTGGAGAGCAAGGAATTTGCCCCCATGGTAAATAAAACTAACGCCTTTCAAAGCTGTGGTGGCGTTTGTCCATGTGAGCTGTTAACGCCAACGCCTGCTGCAGACACACTGAGAGTTTAGGAGCAAACCTGTTCCTTCTGCTCATACCTTTCCATTTTAACCCGGCAGAATGCAAGCGGTGCCTTTCAGGCACCGGGGTTTCCCCCGCAGAAGCCTCCAAGGAGCAGTTTTCTCTCTCCTGTACCGCGTGGGCGGCTGCTCTGTGTCAGTCCGTGTGTGCAGGCTGCTTGGAGCGATGGGTCTCTAGAAACAGGTGAAAGACGTTGCCTTTCCAAGTGCATCCCAAATATAGCGTGGAAAGAGGTGGTATCCAGAGGAGACTATACTGAAGCGGACAGGCTTGGGAACCTGAGAGCTCCATACACTATGTATAAGGTGTCTCTTCCATCTTCCTAAACAGTGAAATGCGTTTCGCAGATTTTTACTCTGGATTGGGATTTAAGCCCAAACTTTCCTCACTGCACTACTGATGCTGGAAATTAAAATAGAACCAAACTAGAAATATCAGTAGACAGCAAGCGTTGTCCTCCTGCTATCCTCCCAGTTGGTCTAACCTGCAACTTATGGGGATTGTATCCCACGGGGTTGTAAACGGAGGCGGTTCTTCCCCGCTACTTCCCTGGCCCGTGCTCAGCTCTTCCTCAGAGGAAGACTAGATATAATGACACTCTAGGACCTGTCCACTGAGGACAAAACACTCCTGTTCTCTCTAGCCTTAGCTGATTGTTTTGCCTGTGATCTGCCCTGCCGCTGGGAGCAAAACGGCATGAACTTAAGAGATCACTCCAGGCCCCAGCCTCTGGAGGCACAGTTCCCAGCTGAGGGATGGCTTGTTTTCCATGTTCTTTTTGGTGAAATCCCCCGGGGCCTTGAAAGTATAGAGCGGAGCAATTAGCTTAGCACAATTTGTTACAAATGATAGAGCAGGCTGCAAAAACAACAAAGAACTGTAGAGAGGATCAGGAAAAATGTCTCTGTCAGCTAAGAGGCCAGAGTCCAAAACAGATGTGATGAAGGACATGAATTTCTGAGCCAAAAAGTCAGCAGCAAGGTTCCCAGGAAAAACAAGTTAAAATAGTATGTTATGAATGCTCTATGTTTCCCTTTTTGAAGTCATAGTTTGTTTCTTTCCCTGTAACCCAGCAGGCTGGACATTTGAAAAAAAGTGTAGCTGAGATTTCTAGTACCCTGATTCCAGAAGCAGAGAATTTAAGAAAATCAGTAAATACTTTGCCCACAAAACTGTTGCCAGTACTGCCATCACTTCCCTCCTCACTTATAAACAAACCACTTCTCGAGTAAACTTTGACTAGAGTAATGTAATCAAATGCATATCTCATCTAAAGTTATTTGAACCAATCTAAACTGTAAGAGAAGCATCAAGTTTAGAAAGAGGACTGGAGCACAGAGATCCTGGGGGTCTCTGGTTCCCTGTTGACAGATTGTGTGTCAGTGAGCAAATCCTTGCCTTTTCCTGCCTTGCTGTCAGTCTCTGGTATCATTTCTATGCATTTTGGGAGGGTGGAGACACAGAGAGATCCCTGGCATGCCATGGGATCTGTGGAAGGAAGGAGAGACATGATTACAGGTTTATTTAGAGATGTGCATGAGAACCAATTTCCCGTGTGAAAAGAAAAGACCGTAACACAAAAAAGCGAGCTTCATATTTTGCACAAAGTTGGCCTGGGAGCAGAGTAGCAGCCTCTCCCAGGCCTGCAACATAGAAAACCCTCTGCACTGGCTGGTACTGATGGGAGGAGGGTTACAGGAGGACCCTAAGGGACCTCCCTGCAAAGGCAGCCCCTGTTCAGGGAGCTGGCAGCCATTCCCTAGTGAAACAGAAATTCTGCATGGGGCTTCAGCTTCCTTGTTTTGTTCCGGAGGGCTATGTTTCTGCATTGGAAACTGCTGAGAGCCTGACAGGCTTTCTAGATATCTTATTTATTTCTGGTCAAAAAGCTAGGGAAATAAGGATGGTTCCTAAATGTGCTTCCAACCTCAAAGCTGGTTAATGGTTCTGATACCAGGGCTGGGGCTGCAGCACAACACATGGGGATGCGGAAGCAGCTGACTGCAGTCGCTCAGCATTGAACCTGACTGGCTGGTTTTTGCGTCCTGGGCACAGATTTGGGGGCATAGTCCTTTTTTCATTGGCTTTAGGAGAGAAGCCTTCCCCCATCCCAGCTGAGTTAAAAGGGAAAGCGAAGAGGTTGTTTCTATTTCCTGGAGTAGATTGCAGACACTGACCATGGCATCTGAAAAGGTGAGAGCTTGGACAGGGTGGAAGCGTCCAGGAAAGCTGTCTCGGTGCTAGAGTTCAGGTAGAGATGAATTGTCTGCCCTCTTGGCCTTCATCTCAAACAGCAGAAGCTCTTCTTGTTTGGAAAGAGGCCTGGCCCTGCCCTGCGTGGCTGGAAAAGCTATTTCATGCCATGCAAATACTCAGGGCAGGTGCTTGGCACAATCAGTGGGGAATTAGTTTCAGAAATCTAAGATGCGATAGAAGATAGCAACATCTGATAAGTACAAAGAGGGAAGCTTTGTAGGGGATACTTTTAAGGTCACTTGTGCATTGCTGGAAACATCAGGTGCAACTAAACATTCAGAGGGCCAGTATGAAAGACGGTGATACTACCTGTACGCCCAAAACAGGAACAGTCACTTTCAGAAAGGAGCCCTCTCTCCCCGAAACGCTGCTCTTCCCTGTCTTTCAATTCCTGAAATGCCTTCTGTTCGTGCATTGTTCTCCTTACAATACTCTGGTGTTTCCACCATATAACCACTTTCTCTCTCTTCTCAGCCAATACTTTATGGCTATTTCCGAAGTTCCTGCTCTTGGAGAGTGAGAATCGGTAAGATCCAGTGTTGATCTCTCTTTTATTCTCTTGGTGTTACTGCAGTATCCTTCCCTTCAGTAACTCAATTAATCAGTCACTTATTAAGAGAGACATCAGCAAACATGAACCCGGAACAGTGAGAAGGAAGGGAATACCACAGCTTACCTGGAGCAGTGGGAAGGGAGAGGAACAGACAGGAGGGCTTCACTCAGCCCACAGCTAGTTAGAGGGAATTACTCCTTTTGTAAAGCTAACATGATGCAGATGGCTGTTTCTTCCACCTTATCTAGAGGGACCCTACACTCTCTTTTTACACGGATACTGCCTCAGCCTCTGGTCTGCCCAGGTCTTGAGAGCTAAGCAGGGCTGGGAATGGTCCCTACTTGTACTGAGACAGTCTTAAGCAAGGTTTTGCAGCTGAGGACGGGGCCCACTGCCCTCAATAAGCCAAATCAGAGGGGCTGAGCTGCAAAGAGTGGCAAAGCTTACTTTGAAAAATGCAGTGGTTTTGCCAGGACTGATCTTTAGTGCTTTTGTCCTTCATTTGCCAGAGCACTATCTTCTCAGTGGACTCAGGCCATCTTTCTTGAGGGATAGGGTCTTTTTTGGTTTTAAAGCCATTCTTTTTTCGAATGGAGATGGCAACATTTCCCTGAGCCCATTACCAATGAAACTGGTCTCAGTGTGCCTGTCTGAAGCTGTACGCTTTGCTCTCCCTAGCACTGGCTCTGAAAGGGATTTCCTATGACCTGGTGCCTGTGAACCTCCTGAAGGATGGGGGGCAGCAGGTAAGGATACAGCTACCATTGCTCTCTCCAGGGGGACTGAACTTGGGGGTCATTAGGAGAATTGCGATTAGCACTAGAAAGTTCATAGGCAAAGTCACTGAATTCCTCACTGCTTCTCTGTAATTAATAGTTGCTTTCAGCCAGTATTCCCTGGCATGCAAGACAGAGGGAGAAGATGACTGCAGGAGACTAAAGGGGTTTTTTCCCTCTCTTAAACATCTGTGGCTGAATTTCATAAGGCTGAAGATCTTTTGTTCCTGCTTAGCATGATATAATTGAACATATCTGGTGCACAGACTTCAGAGAAGCTGCACTGCAATTTAAACACAGACTGGACTTCATTCAATTAGCATCAGAAAGTGTGGGTGTGGAGGGGGCGTGTGTCCAAAAGATGCTAAATGATATAGCAAGGCGCTGCAAAGGGCCTGCCAAAGGAAGGGGTGGGTTGCCAGAAGAGATCTTCACTGAGAATTTATTCGGGTGGCCATAGCAGGGAGTTGTGCACCTAGTAGTACAACTGGCTCGATGTGCCAGTATGGGCTAAGACAGAGCTGGAGAACTAGAACAGCAATAGTGACACTGCTGCAGTACCACCCATCCTGGGCTTTGTATTGACAAGGTAAGGCAGTCTGGCCCTGGATGCAGTGATCCCTGAGCCCCAGAGAGAGCTTGCTGTAGGCTACTAGCACATCATAACTTACTGCAAATATTAGTACTGCGGTAGAGGGAAAAGCCAGGTAAAAAAAATAAAATAAATTGGTAACTGGGTCCTAGGGGAAGAAAACAAAGAAGAAGAATCTCTTGTTGCAGTAATCTCAGGTTTGTTTCCACAGTTTTCTGCTGAATTCAAGGCAGTGAATCCAATGCAGCAAGTCCCAGCCTTGAAAATTGATGGCATCACCCTTTCTCAGTCGGTGAGTTACCAGCCACATCCCTGTTAACCATTAACTCCAGCCTGCTGCCCAGTCTGGAGGGGATGGCTTTGCCCCATCTTTTCCTCCAGAGCTCTCATCTGTGCATTGGAAAAGAGATGGCATTTGTGATAAACAATCCCACTTGGGGACAAAAACAGCACATAGCCTCTGCTGGGAAACTGCTGTCAAGGATTTAAGCTCAATTCAGCTTTGGTTCGTAACTCCACCTTTCACTGAGCAGTCTGCAGTCTGACTTAGATGGCTGTGCCAGGGTTTGCCTGTAATTACAGCTGGGCTAAATGACAACAAGGTCCCAAGCAGACATCAAAGAGGATATTCTGTTGCTTGGATTGGTCACAAACTTCATATAAAAGCTGTTGTATTCTCTTGGATCAGCTGCCCTTTCCTAGGTGTTCAGGATGTGAACTTTTCCATGGCTCTCCAATAACCTCCCCTTATCTCTTTGTTCATTACAGCTAGCTATAATTAATTACCTAGAAGACACCCGTCCTAACCCCAGGCTCCTGCCCCAAGATCCAAAGAAGAGAGCCCAAGTCAGAATGATTGCCGATCACATTGTCTCCGGCATTCAGCCACTCCAGGTATTGCCTTGTTATATCCATGCAAATGAGAAAACCAGGGTGGGTTTCCAGGAGTCTGTTCTCTCTGAAAAGCTCAGTCTCTTTAAATTGTTGCCAGCCAATAGAGTGGCAGACCTTAAGACTCTGTGTTAGCACATGAAATCTCTGCTTAGCCTCTGCCTGACCTGCCAATGGAGACAATACAGTATTTCCTACAAAGAAAATCCTATAGCACCCCAGGGTTCTTTCCACAAACAGCTGAACCCATATGGTTTCACTGCTGGGTCTAGGATGTTTTAGGAAGAAGACAATTGAGCAACCCAAAGGGCAGAGGCACAGGGATACCCTGGCAGCTCTTACAGAAGGACAGTCCTAAGAAATACAGCAGGGTGTATGATTTGGTGAGAGCGAGGTCAGGGCTGACCCAGCAGGCTGAACTCAGGCTGGGGGTTCAGGCTTGGCAACTCCTCATCTCCCCTCTCCTCCACTGGATGAGGCAGGGGGCAAGATCCAGCCAGCAGCAGTCAATCTAACCTGGAGATCACTTGCCTTCGCAGAATGTGAACGTCCTGAAACAAATGGGGGAGAAAAAAATGGAATGGGCTCAGAACTGCATCGCATTTGGCTTTCAAGGTGTGTCCCACATCCAAAACGATCAGCACTTCGACTGATCTTTCAAAACGCTGCACCACTGGGGTCCTATTTCCCTCTTCAAGCAGAACAACAGATCTGGCTAGGCTGGTGTGCTAGGGTCCTGCCCTGGTGGCAGAGAAGGTGCTCTTCCTGCCCAGAGTCCCTTGTCTAGAGCTGGTAGCTCTCCAGGGTCTTGGAGGAAAGATGCTGTCCGCAGGGCGCTTCCACCACTGCTCATGGAAGAGGGGAAGCCTGGGCCCATCCTGTACACCACAGCAGTTGATTCACCCTGAAGCATGAGAGCTGACAGCACTTCTCCTTTCCACCCAGCTGCTCCCAAACTAGTGCCTTTTGCTTTAAAGTTCTATCAATCTACAGTTATATGCTTTTGTAATCAGACAAAAGATACCTGATGGCAAACTCCCACAGGATCTAGCAAGTAGCAGAGTATTTCTTTACCTCCCTGGGAGAAATAGGGTGCTTTTTGTTTCCTCAAAACCCTTTCCCCCATGTGCTGGAATGGCAGGCCCATCTTTACTTCTGGACAGATGCAAACTGACTGAACCTTTGCATTTTCCTCCTCCCCGCTCACATATCTGTACATTGTCCTCTTAGTATTTCAGGTGCATTGCCTGAGGCAGCTGAAATCACCCTGGGTCTCAAAAAGCTGAAGGACCCTAAAGACTCCCATAACTATGTTATTGTAAGATTTCTATTCCTTCTAGGTTCTGTCCCAAATTGCTCCTTTTTCATACTCAGCTCAGGGTCAAAATGCCCTTGTTCATAATTCCCAGTCTAAAATGTCTTTGGTGTTCCTTTCAAATGAGTTTCCAATGCCTCACTCCAGTGTACCACCTCTCTTGACAGCGCTGGAGCAGATTCTGCAGCACACTGCTGGGCGCTACTGTGTGGGGGATGAAGTAAGTATCTGAGAGAGCGTTGTGTACCATTGGAGAACTGAAAACCCCAGTTATATTCCATAAAATAGGAAATGAAACCAGTTGTGGAGATACAGCACAACCCCATGCCATGCCTGGAGTTACATGCAGTACCTTCACTATAAGAACAGCTGCATGGATCCTACTTAGGCCATTACTGAGTTGCAGATGGTTACAGAGATGTTTACTTGTCCCTGCTTATAACCCACTGATGGCCAGATTCTGCACTGTATCTAGGATCTGGCTGCTACTAGAGGATGTGGAAACAGGTTATATATATTTCATCTTTAAGAGATTTGGAGTTCAAAGTATCCTGTCATAGGGGCGAAGCTTGGCTGAAGAAACACAGGTTCAGTTCTTAGCTCTGCTCTGTGGAACCTTTAACCAAGTTGCATTGTATTTTTCTGCTCTGTTTGTCCAGTTTTAACGTGGACAGATTTCAGAGAGCTCACATACAGGCTGTTCTGACCCTTACCAAGCTGGAGGCCACTCAGGCCTCTTCCATTTAGTAGTCCTGTTTGGGAGGCAATTGTATTTTTCCTATTAAAGCCTGAGAAAAAAAGGAAAGCTCCGGCAATATCCTGTGATGCAGAGGATTGTCTAGTAGGAGCCTTATGGAACTGGAGCCCTTGGTGGGCAAAGGCTAGTTATGAGATCTTAGGCTGGAGAATAATGCATGCTCTGAAAGGCACCCAGGTGTTTGTGGCCTGGGGAGTGGGGTGGGGGCAGTTGCCTCTGTGCGAACAGGCAGCTAGCTGTATTGTCCTTGAGCTGCCTTTTCAGATTGCGAGTCCCTGAGCCTGTGTGCAAACGCCCTATCACATATCAGGTCTTGACATTGGCAGGAGCTGCTTAGTACTCCTGCAATGCAAACAAGCAAAATTTACTCATCTTTTCCCAGCCATGCAAACTCCCCCCTCCCTCCATCGCCTCCCTCTGCAGCTTGCCAGCAGACTTGTTTGCTCAGAGCAAACAGTTTGCACAGACGCACTGTGTCCTTGAGGTCATCATGATCAGCTGGTAAATATGAAGCTCCCTAAAGGCCAATGGCTTCTTCTACTAGTGACTGCTATGAAGTTCCTTTCCTTGTACCATTGTTGTATTATTAATGCTGGATTAAAGAATGAGATTGTCGTGACAACTCCTCTGTACTGACTGATAAAATAATTTCTGTCCTGCTGTCAAAGCCTGCCACCACGGTGAAGCGTGATGGGACAGGCTCTGAGTTACTCTGACCCCTTTTCTCTGCTACATTTGCAGGTTTCCATGGCTGATCTGTGCTTGGTGCCTCAAGTTGCCAATGCGGAAAGGTAATAAAGGCTAAGTTTGAGGCGCTCTTCAAGGACACCTACTCCTTGTGCTGGGCTGTCAGAGCTTACCTTCTGCTGCTCCTTGCGCCTGTTAGGAAAGCATCCCTCCTTCCTGCCCTATCCAGTTATGGATTCTTTCTCTGCATGAGTTTTCCTATGTCATAAATACTGTCTCTTTTGGAAGCTCTTTGAAATAAGGAGCTGTGCTCTCTTCTCAGAGGCCCCTGGAGAAAACTTGATCTATGCCCTTAGAAAAGCTAAGGTTGCCCACACTCCATGTCCTCTCTCCCTGTTTGCCCTATATTTACACTGCACACAGGGGGGAAAGATTAATCTGACTATATTTGTTGAAAGCCTTAAACCTATGCAAGTAGTGGCTGCATGATTCCCAGGAAAAGCATAGTGCCTTCTTACCCTGTGCTGCACACTGTGTAAAAGCCTACTGAAGATGGAAGAACTAACTAACCTTTCCTCTAGCATTTATTTTTAAACCTACACGGATGAACCTTTTCTCTTAATGCAAATGCACCCCAGCCTGTGATATACTGGGCAGGCACAGCACACTGCTCTGCCCTTCTGCTCACTGCTGCACTGCCTGTCCAACTCTAGTACCTCACAAATTCTTTTCCTTTTGCAGATTCAAAGTGGACATGGCTCCATATCCCACAATAACCAGAATAAACAAAGATCTCCTGGAGTTAGAGGCATTCAAAGTAAGCCACCCATCCCGGCAGCCAGATACTCCTGCAGAGCTGCGAGCTTGAATCCCTTCTACTCATTAAATCGAGTAAGCTGGAGTGTCAAAGAGGACAACAGCTACAGCTTGAGTAGGACTTCAGTGCCAGCAGGACAGAGGACCTGGAAGTAGCCTGGATGACTTACAGGAGCTACGCCTGTGCTGGGAAGCTTGCACCTACTTCTGACTATGTTTTTTCTATCTATCTGATGTATCTCCATGAAGCAGATTAAAGCAGAAGCATCCATAATTATCAGAAGTCCCCTTTGTATGACTTTGGGTTGGGGAATGTGGCCACAAACAACTGTGAGGCATTGACACAATTCTGGACCCCCACACAGGGGCTTCTTCTTTCTGACAGCTACAGAAAGAACATCAGGGAACCAGTGTACACAGCGTGCTACTAACCTAGCAGGCCTCTTTGTCCTTGCAGTTGCCTCAGAGTTATGGCGTAATCATCAGTGCCATAAACAGTAAGAGCCAGTCTCTGGCAGAAGACAGCTAATCCCAAGCCTTATTGGGTCCCACAGGTCTTGCAAGAGCCAAGAGTCAGCAACTCTACCACCCCTTGCAATGACAGCTGATGTTTACGTCTTCCTTATGTCTAGCAGCAGTCTTGCAGAATTTGTAATAAAGGTCTGTCTAGAGCAAAGCTAGGTGGTTGTGCCATAGTCAGCAAGACACAACCAGCTCACTCCCATATGCTGAAAATGATGGCATTCTCTTCCCTTTCCCATCCTCAGACACTGCTCTAGGTGTTTTCCTAGTCTTCAGCTGCAGACTATTGCCCCGGAGAATCCCACCCCAGATTCCCTCCAAACCAGAATCATGCCTGTACTTTCACTGTGAGGACCTTCCAAACAGCAGGAGTAAATCCCATTCCACTCATCCCAAATGAAACCCAACACCTCAGTCACCTTCAGCGCTGAAAGCACCCTGGGAATTCCAGCCCAGAAACCTGTAGGGCAAGAAGGGAAACCCAGAAGCCTGCGACTGTGTTCCCATGCAGGCTCAGCTCAGATCCTACTGAATGTTTTGGCACCCAAGCCCAGGTACCAAGCCAGGGATATGGGAGGGAACTTCTGCCAGTCTGATGCTGTGTATCAGCTACCCTAAGAGGGCAATACCAATGGCCTTCAGAAAGGCTTTACAAACCCATGATCTCTTATGCCAAGGTAGCATTCACCTACACATAGATACTTGGACCACCACATTGCTTGGACTCATTTATTGCCATCCGTGTCTGTATTCAGGCTGCTGAAGAGCCCTTGCTGTTCCAGGCTCATTCGGAGCATTGTGCATTATCCTAGGTCCAGCTGGATCTTGACTGTGCTGTTGTAAAAGGTCCCGGCACAGTTGGAGCCCCCAAAGACCAACACCGTATGCAGGTTATGCTCCTCTTTGTTCTCCTTGTCCACATCTATCAGGCGGGCAGGAGTCAGGTCAAGCAACGTGTGGCCAGCTCGGGGCACAGAGCAGAGGTCATGGTGGACCACCGTGCTCCATGAAAGAGTATCTGAAGTAGAAAGGAGCTATCAATACTGACGAGCACATTCCTAGTGCAAGGGATGAAACAAATGGACCAGACTAGGTGTTCAGAAACACCACTGCAGCCCAATAGTCACCTTCAGCTATGGAAACAGGGAAGGAGAGTCACTCACCTAGGTGGAAGACAAAGGCATCCTGCAGGGCTCCTTTGGCATTGCAGCCCCCACTGATCAGAACCTTCTGGTCCGACACAGCCAGAGCTGCATGAAAACTGTGACCAAAGCAAAGCCGAAAGCTGACTACAGCAAAATCTGCTGGGGTTGCCTCAGTCAGCAATGGGCAGGGGTGGGCAGACTTCAGCAGGAGGCTGGGGGCTTCAGCTGCAGAATGGCAGTTAACTTCTGCTTCTCTTCTGCCCTGACTTGCTGAATAACCCTGAAAGAGCTGCTTGTTTGCTTCTGCAGGTCAGGCCATAATCAGGCCTGAAAAGTACCTCTATCTCAGCTATCCAAACTCCTATGTTTTGCTCTATGGAGTGAGATAGCAGGCTAGCGGGGCTTTGGTCTGATTTAGGTCGTTGTTCTAGTGAGCAAGTGTCCCTTTAGGAACAGCATAGTCCTGGTACAAGAGTTTCTTCCCCTCTGTCTGTTGTACTCCAGGTACTGTGGAGACCAAACAGCAGGCAATACAGTTCACTAGCCCACGGCAGAAAACTTCCCCTAGCATGAAAGGCAGATTTCCAGGGAGACTAAGGGGTCTGTACCTCCCACACCCTGCAGGCACCAACTAGGACAGCACAGGAATTTCTGGTCCCACAGCAGAGGGGCTATCCACTGTATTTTGACTTGTGGGACAGAGAGATGCAACTGGGTCTGATCACAAACACCATTTAAACCTGGCTTCAAAGAGAAAGGAGAGAGGAAGAAGATAGCTACTGGGTCTGCAACAGGATCTTACCAACGTGCAGAAGGCTGTCCTGTGAGGAAGGGAACTGGTGTGTACTCCATGAAACCTGACAACCAGGGGAAAGGCAGGTGAAATGTCCAAAAAGCTCAGCCTCATAACTAGACAAAACTTCCATACTCTGCCACATCAGCAACCTGCCTTCTCTATTACCCAGCGTCTTCCAAAAAAGCATCTCTTGGTTTTCCCCATTCCCTCCCTTCTTACCCCAGAAAGGTTTTTTTTCCCCCCCCCATAGTTTTCCATCTCCATTGCCTAGTCAGGAGTTTTTATAACGTTAATGCTACCTTCCCATTGAGCATGCCTCATTCCCAGTCCCTGTCTCAGAACAGACCTTCCCAAGGTAGCCATCTGGCACAGAATTTCTTACCCAGATCCAGGATGTGCATGTCACTGAGGTAGAGAGAAGTCCTCCGACCCCCAAAAATCAGCAGCTTGTTCTTCAGTAGAGTAGCTGAATGCCTGGGCAGAGAAGAAACAAGTGAACAAAGCATCTTCAGCAAGCTCCCAAAACTGACGTTTCAGCCTTTGCTTCTGCTACTGGGCTGCCATAGCGTCAGTCTACACTCGCCCCTACCCCCAGCCACTGCAGCCCAAGGACAGAATCCCATCAGGATTCATGACACGAGGTACTGGGAGTCACATTGCTCAAAATATAGCCCTATCTTAAGGAGCAAACGGTGGAGAACCATCACCTAATGTTTAGGAAATTACACTGGGGTGGGAGGGAAGGTGAGCAGAGGTTTCCTGCTCTATTTTGGAGGGCTGGAAGAAGAGCACTCTCACCCAAGCCTAGGCAGAGGCTTCTCCCCTTCTGAGATGGGCTGATACCAAATTTCATGCTCTGGATTGAAGACATAGAGCACATTGCTGCAGGGTCTAACTGCCAGTGATGCCTTTTTGGGGAAAGTCCCTCCGAAAACAAAGAGCTCCTTGCGGTAGATAGTTGCACTGTGGTAGGTGAGCACTGGGATCCTCCCTTTAGCCTGGAAAAAGTTCAACATACATTTTTTACGAGAAGTGCATTATTTGCTGCATGACCTGTAGGAAAAGGGCCCACATCATGCAGTGAGTTCGACAAGTCTCAATTTTCACTTTATTGGCTCCCCAGCCAGATCTTTGCCACGCAGGCAGACAGCACATCCTTTGCATACTCTGCACCACCAGAATGCTCTGATGAGAGAAGGAAGTGAACCTCCTACCCCAGCTTCCTCAGAAGATGATAGAGAACAGAAGGACCTCATTCAGGCTTATTCTGTAAAAGCCATCTTGTGCCTTAGCCAGGAAGGAGACAGATAGTCCCTCACTGACAGGGCCCTCTGCAAGGACATGACAAGCAACTAAAGAGCTCAGACATCTGCTGTGCTCAGAGCAGTCCCTGATTTGAGAAGACCAGCTCTTCACCTCAGCATCCAGTGCAGCTCCCAACAGCACTGTATAAAATGAGAGGCCATTTCCCTCTGCTGCTTGTAGGGTACCTCCCACCCAATAACCTTGGTCAGACACAGCACTCTGCAGCAACCATTTTTTCACCTTGTTTCACTCATTGTAGGCACAGCCCCTGGTTTCTGCCGAGCTTGTGGCCTTTCAACATAGCCTTCTTGTATCTGCCAATCCCACCTAAGCAGCTCAGACAACCTGCAGCAACAGTGGACCAAGACTACTAGAATAAGGATACGGGCACGTCGATCGCCACATTCAGGCAGGACCTGCCACCCCTCCGGTGCTTTTGTCTTGGAAGAGCTGCAGTACTTACAGCCACGAGGAGCCATTTCCAGGTGACTGTGTCCAGAATGTAGATGCCGCTGTAGTCTTTGTCCTCCCTTATGCCCCCAAAGATGTAGATACGCTTGGTGTCTGGGTCGTAGGTAGCTGTGTGACCATGCAAGGACGACGGCATGGCGTTTTGTAGCTGGAAACCCACTGGAAGCCAGAAATCACTGTCTGTGGGAGCAACACCAGACACATGGTGTGGGAGTTCCACGATGTTTTCAATTTCTCCAGGTTTAAAGATATGTCATAAAATTTTACTCAAGACCTTGCTCCCTTCATCTGCTCCTCTCCTTTGATTCAGGACTAGAGGGGACTCATACAGAAATGTTTCTGTGTAAGGAATGAAGGGGAACACTAACTAGGTGGGGAATAGTAAGGTGGAAGAGGGGATCAGTGAGGTGCAGAAAGCTGCAAGGCACTGGAATTGTATCTCACACTTCTCCACCAGTCATCACACACAGACTGCAAATCACGCTGTTGCTTTTACCCCTTAAAATTCACCCAACTCTTTCCAGAACTTATACCTTAGCTCCTGGAGGGCTCTCACATAAAACCCCACAGCCTCTCAGGACACCCTCCGCTGTCAGCTCAGCCTGGTGACCATGCTAGGAGACGTGACACCTTTGCTGTCCCCTCCCCATGCACAGACCCCCGAGTACCCCCTTCCATCTGCATGAGTTGTCCTCAAGTCCCACTGCCCCCATTGCCTTTGATAGCCCTAAAGTTCCCACCAGTTTCCAGCTTCCAGAGTGCATCCTTGCAGGACTGCTGATCGACACCTTCTCCACCGATCAGAACAGCTGTCCCTGGGTCACTGAGGCACATGGCGTGGCACCACCGTGGGCTGGGACTGCCTGGGGAGGGGAGAGCACAAGGCTGTGAGCAGTCTCAGACAAGACGCCCCCAGCTCCCTTCCCTGCTGGGGAGAACAAGGCAGCTGAAGGCTCAGAGGGGAGAAATGGGAAGGCAAGGGCCCCAGGTGCCTACCCTCTGGGGTGGCAAGAGACATAGTTCCCTGAGGAAGATTTTCTGTTGGCTTTGAGGAATAATTGCTGTACTAGGAGAGGCATCGCTAGCAGAGGGAGCCAGCAGAGTCTGGCTGGCTGTAGGACACATACAGGCTGCCACTTCAGACAGGCTTGGATGCCCCCCATTGATTACCCATCCCCAGAAGGGATATCCCAGTTGGGCTGTCCCCCTGTGTTACTCCTTGTGAGGGAGGGCTACCCAGGGACAGCTTGTGAGTGCCTAAGATACAGCAACCAGAAGCCTGGAGCTGCTTCCAGAGATATTCCTCACACTGCTCTGTTCTTCCTCCTTTCCTCTCCCAGGCCCCTAAGGTTGGCTGAGCAAGCTGAAAAATACTTTTTAATCAAAGTCTATTCCACATCTTGCCCTTTGCCTCAAAGGGCTATGGACCCAGAGGTGTGCCTGAGATTCAGAGGGCCTACAGAAAGGTATTGGAGAGCCTGACAGTAGTGGAAGCACCTATACTGAGAGCAATTGCACAGAGAGGAACAGTATATACATACAACCTACTTGTTATTCTTTATCACTGGGGAGATAAAAGATGAAGCATGAGAGGTCTGTGACGTTAAAGGGAATGGCATCACCGAGCGGCTGAAAAGACAAACCAGGGTCTAGGAACCAGATCCTCACCTTGCAACTCCTCCACTGCCAGATCTGCAGAGGAAACACAAGAGATGGCCCCATAAATAAAGCAGCCAGCAGACATACCGTGAAAAATGCTCAGCTCTACGGTTTAAGAGCCCTTTGCCTTCCTTCCTCCAACCCCCAGCACAAAGCTACCTCACTGCAACAAACAAGGTGCAAGACCAAGAATTCTGAAGAAAGTCTCATCAGAAGAAATGCAGAAGACAGGTTAAGAGCAGGGCAAACTTCCTTTGACTGCCTCATGCTGTTACCATTGCATTTTACCCCTCTGATGGAAGCTTATTTCCCCCCTTCTCACACTGTCTATGGAGGAAGTGACTTCATGATGGAGCTATATTTGCCTTTGTGAGAAGCAAGCTAAGTCCCAAGAAGTCACTTCACAGGGGGACCACTGAGTTACTGTCAAACATTTACACACAGACTTGGTCACATCCTGGAGCCGACTTGGAATTCACACTCCAGAAGCTACAGGTTGTTTCCAAACTCTTTGGCAGCTACCTTCTCATCACTGAAAAGTCAGTAATTATACATATATTCCTTTTCATATTCTCTATACTTTAATAATAACCAATGTCTTCTACGGACCAAGTGGTATGCTGTTAGTAGGGGAACAAACAGACTAATGGAGAGGTTACAGAACATCACAGTAGGTAACTTTTTTGTGCTTCAATTTACTCTTTTGTAAAACAAGGCTAAAGATACTTGCCTTAATTTATAAAGCACTTTTACTCGTATGAAGAAATAGGCGTATTATGTTACGGTACAGAGTGTTGGCACTAAGAGTATCCCATGTTCTATTTCTGGCCTTTTCCCAATAGGCAAAAATTCATCAAGCAGTTTGTCCAGGACTAAGGAGCATTCTTGGTATTTTGCAAGCCAAGACAGACAAGCACATCTTGCCTTGGAGGTACACAGAGAAATGGACTGGGAAGTTGTTGCCCAGCAGCATTGACAGATCATTCAGACAAGACCTGTAAAATAAACCTGGAAGCTGCCAGAGTTACCTTCTTCCTCGAGATCTCTCTCAGATGCTGTGGGTTCAAATAAAACTTTCCTGGGTTTCTTGGGGTGGACTGGACTCTTCCTCCAGGCCTCACTGGCTTCCACCTTGCCAGATGGTGGCTTCAGGGCACAGGGTACCGCCAGGGTCCTCAGTGGTGGGCGGACGTCCTTCCTTCCAGGCCTGGATGCTCTAGCAGTCACTTCTGAGCTCTGATTCTTAACCTGTGACAAGAGTCCCAGTCAAATCAGCCCTGAAGAAAAAGACCTGAGGCTGCTGTGAGTTGTCTGTTACTGGGGCAGAGATTAGTTTCATGCAGTGACTGTTTTCAGGCTCATCTTCCTGTGGAGTCTTAAGGGCCAGCATGCCAACAGTATCAGCTGCCAAATGTATGCTGAGCGATGCAGCTACCTGCTGCTGTATGCCCAGTGGTCTGCTGTCAGACCGCTGGCTGCGACAGGCACAGCTAGCACAAGGCACCTGGAAGGGCCGTCTGTGCAAGGAGTAACCGGGCTGATTGATCGTCCCACCGAGGGTTGTTAAATTCAGCCCTTCCAAAGGCATTTCAATGAAGAGTACTTCTCTCTTTAGCACAAGTGTATCTTCGGCTCCAAAACTTGCTTAGCCAGTTTTCCACTAAGAGAGCATCATCTCCACTAAGAGAGACATCAACTGAGCAGCTACAAGTGAGGGAGAAGATACTAAGGAGAGGGTGAAATAACGAGAGGAAGGCTCCAGGATACACATACTGCAGTAGGATCCTCCAGGTCCTGGCCAAGGAGCATATCATCTGCTGGCAGCACTGGTGACGGGGTGGTCTCCGGGACGAGGAAGGGGCGGGCAGGCGTACTGCTGGAGACCCCTCCGAGCAGCTGCGGCAGAAACAGTCACGGTCAGAATAAAAAGACACACCAAGTGTGCTGGCCTCCATCCACAAAGGGTGAGCAAAAAGATGTCTTGCAAGGGACAGGTTCCCTGCAAGGGAATAGCCCAGCTTTCATCTCCAGCACCAACAGAATAAACAAAGAAAAGCAAAGCCAGGCACTGGGAGATGCTAAATCCAAGGGCTTCATCACAAGGTAAAACAACTGTGTAAGTGCCACAAACACAGAAGAGAGCAGAGCTGGAAGTGAACCGCTCGCTGCTGCCCATCTCCTCCAACACACGATGTGTTTTGGCAAAGCTGTGTTTAGGGAACGGGCCTGGAGCATCACAGAGGGTTTTGGCTCAGCACAGACGCGCATTAACAGATTCGCGTGAGGCGGCTCTGCCTTGGAGAAGCAAAAAGAAGGAAAAGGAGAGGATGGAAGTTCTGTAGCTCAGGAGTGACAACATTTGGGACCCAAGGCAGGAAGAGAGAAGGATGTCAGTTCTTTTACCTCTCCATGGACAGTCAGGACAAGCTTCACAGGGTTGCCTCTGTCCATCTTTTTCAACGAGGCCATGAAAATATCTGTCCTCCAGTCACCTTCCCACACCAGAGACCTGCACAGGGGACCATGAGTTTTCAGCCCACAAGTGACACTGACCAGGGAAAAATTCCTGCTCCCACACTAGCTGGTAACACCCCAAAGCCGAAAATGATCCAGCCCTGAAAGCAGCCAAAAGGAAGCTGAAAGCATCACTAAAGAGAAACACCATGGTGGAGGCCCGGCAGGCCTGAGCAGCTTTGGGATGACACCAGCAGAACCGGGGAGCAGCACAGAGCAGAAAGCTCTTCCAGGACGCCCCTCCTGACACGCGGCAGCGCCAGCTCCCGCCGTGACCTGCAGGCGGGCTCCAGCGTGCCGACCCGCTGCGGCGCGATGCCCGGGGACACCAGCACGTCCACCGCCACGCTTGCGTCCGGAGAGCAACAGCTCCAGTCTCCCAGCCCGAACACCACCAGCTGCTTTGGCAACGGCAGGGGGGGCGGAAACCCGTCTTGCTGGGCAGGCTGCGAGGGAAGGGAAGAAAAACAACAGAAAACAGAGATAATCATCAGGGAGTAAAATGGAAGGTCCGAAAAATATACGAAAAGGCTTGAAAACACGCTTAGGCCAGGGGAGGGCGAAAGGAGAGGGTTTGTGTCATTTCAAGAGCAGACCGCGCAGAGCTGCGATGAAAAAAAGCAAGGGGCAGCCTGGGCAGGGAGCGCCGCCACGGGGGCAGGGGCAGCTCCAGAGCGCGGAGCCGAGGCGAGGCGCGCAGG